CGGACCTGCGACCTTTCGTCTTGCTGAGCGAATGCTCCACATTTCATCCGCGTGTTGTTCCGCTTGTGGAGAAGGTTATTGCATGTGTGCAGGGCAGCTGTCAACAGGGTCTTCGATATGTGAGGCAACCTCAGGTTGTGCATCGGCAGTGGCCAGTCTTCTTTGCTTGTGGGCAGAGCACCCGCCAAGCAGAGCGAAAGGTCGCCGACCCGATTCCGGCAGAAGGCTTCCTTTCACCGCCCCTCGATAATTCGGCCTGGCTTCTTGTGGACCGAGCTGGCTTCTTGTGGGTCGGATCGGTAGTGGGCCCGCGGCCCTCAAATATTGTTACTTCTTCAGCGTTTCTGGTCTAGTGGTAGTGTGCCTCGTTTCAATAGAGGCGACCCGCGTTCAATTCCCGGCAGACCCAGACCATGAACACCTTCAGTTTGGCTTTCGGCCTGGTGGAAGCGCAGAGCGTAATCGAGCCACCAAGGAAAAGGAATAGGAGGTCGTCGCCCGACTGTCGGTGAGGTCGGTCTGGAGCTGAGTAATGGAAGGCTCAAAACACCAAAAAAAATAAGTAACTGCACAAAGAGCCACGTTGTGTTCTCGCACAAGAGGTTGGTGGGACTAGGAAGTGCGAATTGACTGTTGCCGCACCAGCTTTCTCCCTTACCGCGCCCCTGAGCTCCGATCTCGCACGAGCGGGCGTGCGACTCACAAACACGTTACACGCGTCGGTAGTGTGAAGTTGGGTTCGGCAGCCAGCTTAGTCAGTTTGCGTTGGTTTAGTAGTGGTTCTAGTCATTCGTCGACGGCTTTGGGGTCGTGGTAGCTACGTGGAGTCCGTCGGTGGTTTACCCTTTCGGTAAAGGCAGGAAGGTGGTAATCAGTCTTCGGCCCACCAAGCCCCCAGGCCTGTGAGGCAGTACTAATACCCACTTACTGCTACCTGTTCGCTTCGAGGGGCGAGCCAGTGGACCCTATCCGACAGCACGCGCTCAGTGCGCTCGCAGTTAACCACCCAGCCAGAATACTCGAAGCGGGATTCAAACCCGCGCATGCACTGCACAGTAGAACTTGAGGCTACTCCCTTGGACCACTCGGGCATCCGTGCGTAGACACGACGGAATTTAACTTACTGACAATTAGCTGAGGTTGACCACTGAAAGTCACAAGCTTTACTGGATACTATTTTTGCGTTCAACGACTCGCCGCGTAAGAGGACTATCACAGTGCCTGGACAACACCGGTCAAATCCGCCATTTCGTGGATGGGAGAGAACGTGTTGACTCTCTATTGTCTCCATGCAAATCACCAAATTAAAGCCATCACGCATGCAAAACACTGACGCATTGTCAATGGGTGACGGCCATCCTGCCTGAGAGTTTTTGGCAGGAGGGGGACTGGAGCCACCGCGTTCTGGGTCGTCGCAAATATTGGAGTCACTCGTTTCGTTTCTCCATATTTTG